GTTTATATGAAAACATTTTGAAAAAAAGTTTTCTGGTTAGCGTTTTTTTAGTGAGTTAGTTTCCTACGGGATGGGTTCGCTAACCCCATGCCCAACCCTGCTCCCTTATCCGGGCTTGGGACCGGCAGTAGCTACCGAAGGGACTTGTGGTGGTCCCCAAACAAAAGGAGCTTACACAAATTATATTGATACACTAGGTTAACAATAATATACCAAAACAAATTATTGATTAAGAAACCTAGATGTCTGTCCGTTAGTAAAAACAAAGGTAATAAAATACCGTTAGCAATACAAAAGGTATATTAAACAAAACAGACGCTAACAGTTACTATAGAATGAATGTTACTTGTTAACTGCCTCGTGAGGACAACGACCACAAACTGAGTTCACTTGATTGACAGGTGTTCCTCTGCAAGTGACTGCACCAAAGTCGTAATGAGGAAGACGGAGTCCAATAGTATTATACAATAGTAATCCGTGCCAAAAGTCCAACGTTGAGTCGGAAGGCCTATAATGATGTTATAATACTATTATAGTCTTCAATCAAAACGGTGGCCAATAAAACAGAAGAACAAACGACGTAGGTAGTGTTCTATATTTTAAACAACCCGGTAGTAGAAGTGTATATCATTCATCGAAACAATTATCATCGTCTTTTTAACAAGTGATACAGCAAAACAACAGATATTGGATAAAAATGTGGTTACAAATAAAGTGTGACAAATTAGAGAAAAAATGTGGTTTTTATTTTTGTTGTTACAAAAATCACTGAATATATGTCACCATAGACTCCAGGCAGAGTTATGAAAACATTTAGTTACATTAATCAACAAACAAACAAAAAGTCATATGGTTTTGTCACTGACTTAAGATTATTTCATTTGAATAGAATATTTAAATGAGCTAATTATTCTTAGAAATTGATATAAAGTAGAAAGATAACTTTATAGAATGAATAATTAGACATTTAAATTATATTCAGTCTATAGGTATTTTTATTGGTTTTCATTGATAATTTTTTTATAAGAAGTAAAATTATATATCTTTAAAGTTTTCATGCAAGAAAGTAAGGTGTTATCTCAGTATGTCATAATGATATACACTTCTGTCTACAGTAAAGATGATTGAAATACAAATCTTAATGCGTACTTCATTCACTTGTTGAAATCATGAGTCAATTGAAGTCAGACCACCATAGGAAACTTGAAAGCACCGGATGACCATTTCGTTCTATTGTGGGACTCCTTAACAGTGCGTATTCACGATCCCGACTTGCGGGATTCGAACCTAGGACCAATTGGTCTCCTGCCCTAGCACTTAACGACTAGACCATTGAGCCGGCATCCAACGGTGTTATTATCTAACTTCAGCCAAAACAAGAAGTTGCGCCACCGTATACCATTGTCTTCAGTGAGCTGATATCTCACAACAGACCTGGTTTAGCATTACTAATAAAACATAATAACGATTTCTTTAAAATAATTCTCATTTCCATTCACAATCAAATTCATTTATCATAATGAATTGCATATATTAAACATTAATTCCATCATTAATTTCTTAGACATTTTTTTTTAATTTTCAAACTATTTTAATGAATAATCTTTTAATCTATTTTATCCATCAATATAATTTGGTTAAATCATAAATTTACTCATTATAATCATGTAAATTAATATATCAAGTATATCCAATACATTAATCATTTTTATCTAAATACTATTGTACAATAATTGATAATGAAAAAAAAGAAAAAAATTTTTCTCCAGTTTGTTTGTTTCCTGAATGTTTTTCTTCTTTTTTTATGTTTTTTTTCTCTTTTTTTCTTTCAAATGAATAAAATTTAAATTTTTCTACTGGTCAATTCATTTTTCTTATTATTACAATTAAATATTATGAAAAAGAAAAGAATATTTTTATGTTAATTGAGCGTAAATAAATTTAATAAATCTTCAATAATTATAGTTAGAATAAAAAGAATTTCTATTTTGGTTAATAAAGAAAATTACATAAAATGTTGGTTTACAAAAAGAAAAAAGAAAAAAAAGAAAATCGAATTTTTCTTTTCTGTTTTTAATTAATTTGTTTAAATGGTTGTTTTAGTTGTGTGTGTGTTTTTTGATTTAGTTAAATTTCAATGAAAAAAAAATTGATGAACAAGAAAAAAATTGAATCAAATTATATCCGGTCAAAATTCTAAAAAGATTCCTATTGAATGTAAGTAAATGAGTAGATTGTTAGATGTGATTCTTATTTTTTGTGTCTGTGTGTATGTGGGGTGCGTGCGTGAGTGAGTGCAAAATTTCATTTCTACTGTAAAATAAATACATTTTCTGAATTGGCCAGTTACTATTAAGTTTCAGTCTTTATGTAGATTTGGATTTTTTTAAAAAAAACTACGAATATATCAATACTACATGGGTTCTTTTTTAACATGTTTGATCATTTTGAAAGTTTATATTATGTTTAAGAACATTTTAATTGTGAATCACTAGGTAACATGTTATAAAGATATACAAAATATTAGGATAGGGTTATTAGTCTAGATGATGAATTGGTTTTGATATATTTTACACCACAGACTAATTTTATTCATACAACTTTAAAAATCATTTAGGATTAGATAGTTATATTGTTCAAGTTTCATATTCCCCTGTTACATGCCCCTTAAAGTGTACTAGGTATCGAACTTTCAGTCTTTACGGAAAGTATTTGGTTTACTAACTATTAGCTTAGTGTATAATAATTTAGATTGTTAACTTGATGTTGGGGTATTGGTAACATGTGACACTTTACATTGTTTTATTACCTTTAATGTAATAATTTTTCTAAAACACTTAAAATATGATAAAGTGGTTATTGATAAAGTAATGTAACATATAATGTTCTTGATTGCTCAAGCAAAAATCTGTTAATATGCCTCATTCAATAGACAGACAAAAAAATAATTTAATTTAACGCATAATATGTTCATAATACGTTTAGCAGTATCAGAATCAGTCATTAATAAAAAGCATTGTTTCTGTATCATGGTTTTGATTATTTATAAACAAGTAATTTGCCAAACTATTTCAGGCATTCTATGATATTCTGTTTTTAAGGTTGTCATAAGTAATTTGTCAAATTGCTCATAATGATAATCAATGATATATGTCAGGTAATACATATCCATACATTTCAATTGTGGCTCAAATATGGAAATGTAGAATAAACTGAATGAATCATAAAGAAAACTTTCCATGTTTGTTTTTGATACAGCAACTTGTAAAACATTTAAGAATAATTGTCATACGTGTTTTGAAGTGAATTGCTGACCTTGCCTTGTCAGCACAACGTTTCGACAGTTGAAAATTAACTAAAGTTCAAAATAACTGTCAGTCAACACCAAAGTCAGAATTTTTATTATAAACGTCGAGAATGTTCTGTCGTAGAAACCTGAAGCTTCGTGGATGACTATAATAATCAAAAAGTTAGTTATTAGCAAATAGCTATCTACGTAAGATACTCTGTATACGTTAATCAGACACTATCAGCAACAACCTACTGTGGGACAAAATAAATCAGCTTCCAATTTAGGAGGAAATTAGGAAGGGATACTGAATGTGTATAGGATATACACTACAGAAACCATCAAATTACATCACAAAGCGAGCTCTAACTTGAAATCCTTAAGGGAGAAGATAGGAAGGCAGACCATAGAATACATTAAACCAGGAACCGGAGACAGACATGGAAGGAATAAATAACTCTTGGGAAGAACTGTAAAAAAGAGCCCAGTACACTATTGATATAAAAAACTTGGTGTGAGACTTTCGCTACACTTGGGGTAGATAAATCAAAAATCAACAGGTATAATTTAAAATGCATTAAGCATTTCATAACAGTTTTCTACGACACTATAACGTAGTTACTAGTTACTATTTACAATGGTAGATAGTATAACGTTAAGTGTTCAGAAGTATTCTATAACATTGATTATATATTTATATGAATTTAATTGACACTTATTCTCACTGTACAAACGATTTATGATTCATGAATTGCCTAAGCATTCACTTTCAAAGTAAATCGTTTTAGATGTTTGATGTTTTCAGTAAATCTGTCATGGTATGTTTTTTTCAAAAAGAGCTTAGAATTTTTTAATAATTGATTAGTCATTTAACAAATTCTATTTATCACTTGATAGAACCATAAATATTTCAATTTGCTTTACACTCTTCTTCAATCCCCTTCTATCTAATAATTCGGACGTTTTCAGCCGTGGCAATAACTATCTCGTAACAAAGATCCAATTATATTTTTGAATTGATACAAAGGCATATGGACTTATACTACTGTAAATGATCAACTTAAATAGCGGTTAAGACAATTTTTTAACAATGAAACCGCTTCTATACATGTTCACACTTAAAAAAAGCATAATTTAAGCTATTTATTTAGTACACAGCTCATGAAGATGGAAAGGTATAAGGAATTCCTGAATTGTTTAACTTTATGTTTACCTGACATCGAAATAATCAACAACAACAAATCTTGAATTTTTATATACTGTGATTGTAATTAACAATTGTACACGTATTTATGGAAATAAAAGACATTCTTTAGTGTTTCTAATGTTAACTCAATAGAAAGATATACTAAGTTATTTGTTAGTTATAAAACTCATTCGTTTTAGGATTCAATTAGTAGAACACAATTCAAACCGTTAAAAATATTAGCTTAAATGACAATTCTTCTTTATGAAATACATAAAAGTTGAAATAATAACCCATATAGATAATAGATTTACTTTCATGTTTAAATGAAAGAAATAATAATAATATTCATCTTTATAACATAAAGCATTTTTCACATAGTAATAGAAACCTCTGAACTCATAAATAATTGAACATACAAAAGACATAAAGAATTACAAGAACAAAATTTGTACAATATGTATCCATATACAATTACCATCATGACTCAAATCATCATATAATATATTGTTGTATGATATATTTTTATGAGTTTATAGAGATAGCATTTGATTCAGTGTCTAAAATACGACTTATTCTAGTTAGTTGATGAGTAGATTTTGATGTTTGACAACAAATTAAACGATTACGATATTGTATACATTCATTTCGAGCAATTTTACGAAATAAAGGATTTGATGCCATATAAATGAATGCATTCAATGTAGAATCTAAATAAATTAATAAATTTGCAATAACTGATAATGTTAAATCAATTAATGGATAATCTTGTTCTAAATAAGGATTTAATATTTTACTGAAAAATGCTGGAGTTTCTAAAATAAAAAATGTTATACAAACAGCAAACATTAATTTATCACCTGATGGAGCTGGTCTTTCAGTTAATTCTTTTGTCAAACCATTTGAATTACGTTGTAAAAGATTATTATTATTATCAATAATGATATTGTTTTTTAAATTTGATTGATTATTTTCTATTTCCATTGTTTGACGTCTTAATAAATTTCTAGCTGAACGTTGCTCTTTTTCTCGATGAAATTTTCGACGTTTTGCTATAATTCTTATTACAAATGCACTTAATACACATACACATATAACTGGACCACCAGATTGTACAATAAACATAACTAAACCTAAATATAAAATTTGATATAATTTATAATTAATTAATAAAGGATAATCTTTAGATACATTTCCTGATATATAACATACAACTATACCACTTTCAAATATTCTTGGTATAACAATTAAACAAGCTGAAAAAAATATAATAATTAATATATAACGTATACGTTCACGTGGAAATGCACTAGATGTACCAATAGGTCGACATATTTGGTCATAACGATATGCTGCCAATAATACAACAGACCAATTACGTGATATTTGAAATGCTACTAAAAATCTACTAGATATAGTTGTAATAAAAAATGAGCATATTGTTTTAATATAAGCATTTGTATGAATAGAATCTTGTTGAAATTGATTTAAATGATTTATATGTATATCATAATTAGGATATATATTATTAATTGTATTATTTATATTGAATAAATTTTGATTAGAATGAGATGATGTGGAATTTTGTGAAAATATTAATGCATGAATAAATAAACTTAATCCCATACCAAGTTCAATAATAGATAATCCTTTTAATATTCTACTCATTATTGATTTTTTCCATAAATGATGATTAAATATATGAACGCATAAACCATTTAATATAGTATTTAATGGACCTAATAATAAACCTATAGCACGATAAAAACTGAACAAACCGGAAACCGGTAATGATTCCATTTGAGTACATGTTGAACTTTTATTGATTATAAATAAATTTAAAATAAAAGGATTTAATACATCTTCAGTATGTTCAGTAATATTCATTGTAATCTGATAGAATTTACAAATGTGGTAAGATAAGTCGTTCAATTCGTATGTGAATATGGTATATTACGGTATGGTTGTCTTTTTGAATTGTTATTAAATTTCATATTTCCATAACACACTTGTTAGATAAATCCAGTATCTGAAATTAAATAAAATAAAAGTTTAATGTAATTTTTTCTTCATCATTACAAGAAGATATAGTGTTGGTTGTTATGTTAAGCCTACACAGCTTATTCTAGCTTGTGAACAGTCTAATCTTGATGGGGTTTTGTTCTCTGAACTGGATAATTTGGTCGTGAGGCTTTCATCGTTCTTCTGAACGACATCATCAGCACAAATTTCAGATAGATGATGTCATTCAGAAGAAAGATGAAGCTCCACGACCAAACCATCCAGCTCAGAGAACAAAACTCCATCTAAACCATCTACCTGAGCTACAAATATTCTCCACCATCTCACTGTCTAATCTACTCATTCTTTGTGAGTCACATTTTGATTTTATTAATTATTCACTTATCAACTTTGACTATTTTTATATCAACGTATGTGTGTGCACTTCTTAAATTACTCATCATATGTCTGTAACTTATTTTTGTTCTGACTATAAATATCGATTAACGCTTGATTACATCGAGTTGGCTCATACACCACTTTGCGTCATTTCGCTTTGCTCTCATCTCTTCACTTCGTACCTCTGATTCTCTGTCCAGATGAACGAGTGTACAGAATATATATAATCAAACATCCATTGTCTTATTTAATTCCATTATCCACTAACGCAATTTAAGTTGATGATTATATACGAGGATTTGCGACATGTATATTTCAATAACAATCAATCACATGATCTAACTGGAGTCAGATAAAGGGGCACTAAAAATATTTTTAAGAAAATAAAAAAGCTGTTGAACCGAAATATTATTTGTAAGAGGATTCAAAGTAACTTTGATCACAAATCATTATCATTTCGCTCAAATATCTAATTTCTGATTCAGTATACTGAATGTTCCTCATTGAAATTGATTCTTAGTTTATATGGAACAAAAGAAGGTGGACAACCATATTGTAAAGCATTCAATGCTAACCACTGAAGTTCTATTCTAATGGTGAATATTTCTCATTCAACAAACCTTATTTTCTGTGACAACGTATGTTTTTCTTTATGTCGCATCTATGTTACGTTGATGTAATTTGGGGTTCTATTTAATCAATATGACACTTAATGTACACATTTTTGTCAAGTATAAAAACTTATCAGAATATTTATTTAATTTTATTTAATTATCATCAAACCTTTTGTTAAAATTCATTTGGAACAATCATACAATGTGTAATAATTGATTATACTCATATTGAGAAACAAAGCCAATTTTCTCAATATATCTGTTTAGACAATGTTATTTCTTGGAAGAAGAATTCCTGTAGTCGTTGATTTATACAATGAGAGATTTACATTTGTTACTCATCATATGATATAAAAAAATTTAAGTACCCGAACAGTTTATTAAAGTCTATAGTATAATATTGTCTGCTCTGTAATTTAACGAATTGAAATAGATATACAACCACTCTAATGGACGATAATTGCACGTTATTGGTCAAATATCAATTTTAATAATAGAAATCAATTCAGTACTTTGAAATGAATTGGATAAAAAATTGGGCGAGACTCCAATTTATGGACGAGCCAGTCAGAGGCATTTTAGAGATTTCAAGATTACGGCGCCAACTTCAGTGCTTAATGCTGACGCACGATCGGTTCACAGGGAATTTTGTACAAAACGTGATAATTGAGCGGCTATAACAAATAAAACGGCGAGACTATAATTTTTGGACGAATCAATCTGGTATAAGATAACAGATCTCGAATTTTAACGCGAAAGCTTTTCATCCATTTGGCTAAATAAATTTCTGGCATTATAGCTGATGTCAGTTCGTGATGAAAACCCTATATATAGTTCCTAACTAAGGCAGATTATGACAATTACCGAGACCTGGATAATAAAAGCACCAGTAACAGTGGCTGCAGCCAGGTACTACAATATATTTGGATGTTTGGGGAGCGTACAGACTCCTACATAGGCTTGGTTATGTGCGTCGTGTCGTTATCCACAAGTAGCATTTTGTGTACTCAACAACTGAAGTGCACATAAACAATATTGAAACTATGTGGTCCAAGTTGAAAGAGTTTTTGAGACTTCATCATGGCTTCAGAGGCCGACTATTCTGTAGCTGTATGGATGATTTCTTCTACTGAATGCATTACAATTTTAGAACCTCCAAACCTCTTTCTAACCTTGACAAGTTTTTGAACCACGTATAAGAGGTGTATCCACTTTATTTCCTTGTTTTTTCATTATATATTTTTACTCTATACTGACTGTTTGCTGATTGGCTAATATTTCTCAAGGTCGCTTAAGATTCGTTCAAAGGTCGTTCATAAATTAGAGTCTCGCCAAAAATTGTTCTATTTTATTTTGAACCATGTCAACTTGATTAAGTTTTAAATCAAAACACTTAAAACTATAATCGTTTAAGGTTAAACTAATAGATACAGATTCGAACAATAAATGGTATGAATCATAATTCACTTTAAATTAAAGAGGTTTTTTGTTTTGTAGTTATTTAATTCATTATAGTTTCATTATTGTGAAAAGATTTCAACGATATAATATAATTAAGCTAATAACTTTAAACATTTGTTTTAATCTATTAATTTTTTATGACATTTCTTATAGATGACTGATTTGAAAACACGTAAACTTCTGTTTATATTCATTTCATAGTTAAATATGAATTAGATTGATAGAAATTATAATCAATCATTCATAAAAGAAATTGTTTATGATGAGATTATCAATCTTAAATTTATCAATGTAAACATACAAAAAAGAAATGTTCTAAATTATTTGAAAAAGTAAGAAAAACACTTTATCCAAATATCTATCTTAACTTGTTGTGACACGTAAGAATAAAAGTAACATACAACAACAAAAAAACTGGTTAAATGAACATCACCAAAAAAAGGGTAAACAAACATTGTGTAAGTTAGATCAAGTAAATAGTATTATTCAGTTAAATAAATCAAAAAACAACCAAGTACTCAAATACATCGATTACTAATTAGAAAGAATAGTCAGTGATGAAATAAAGTATCTAATAGTAGTGTGGTGTGCTACTTATATTGACATAAGTAGTATATGATGTTAGTCGTAAACAGAAGGTCTGAAAGCAGAGAAACAAGAGGATCGAACAGTAAAGAATGGAAACAGGATATGATTTGTATGAAAATGCAAGAACAATGAAGTCTGAGTCATTTTGAGACAATTAATGGATATTTTGCAAATCAAGTATTTACTATATGGTTGTTAGATTTTATTAGCAAGTCCTGTAATTTTGTGTTAAATACATTCGATTGTCCCCCCCCCCGTGTACTGTTCACTACAGTAGGGACACTTAACAAATATATTACGATTCTTTACGAAACTTTACTTCAAGTTTGAACTGAATGAATAATATAATGTAGAAAAATAATTCGTGAAGTGATTGAAGTTAGACATTAACACCGTTGGATACTGGCCAGGTCAGTGGTCCAGAATTTAAGTGTTCATGTGAGAAGCCAAAGATCCTGAATTCAAGTCCCGCATTCTCGATTGTGAATGTGTACTGCTAAGGGGTCCCGTACTAGGATGAAATGGCCATCCAGTGGTTCTAGGTTTTCCATAGTGGTTTAACTTTAATGGACTCATGATTTCAACTATTAAAATAATATTTGTTAAAGATGATATATGATATTTCAATGAAACATCAATCGATAAATAGGAATATATCATCTGATAATCTTTTACTGAATTCTATTTAATTCATATGTATCAGCTTAGTATTGAACTAAGACATGAATAATCATTAAACTGATTAGATGATACAGCTTTAGAATTACGACTTATGTAATCAGTTCCTATTTTTGTAAATCCATTTTCCTATAACAACATTCCTACTTGTTTAAACTCTGAAAATCAGTAACTACTCAATATTTGATTGAGATATTTGCTTTCGTTATTCACTAGCCAATTTGAAAAATCATTGCAAGTATTTCATGATAATACTAGCACAGCGAATTAGTGTAAGATCTCTCATTAGTACTACAATGAAGTATAACAAACAAACAATATAATTTCTAATATTTTAGCTTGACAACGTTTAATACACGGGACTTTACTTAACGGAGTAAGGTTTTGTCAATTGTTAAATGATAGGAATACGTATTTTAAGATATTTTTAAACGTCAACGGGATGACTTTGAAAGGATGTTAAACAAAAATATCGAGTTTCGACAACCTGTACTTATCTTTTGCTGGTATGGCTTTAACATTATTGATAATGGTTTCAGTATAATTTGACAATCGTGTTCAGTGGACATTATTGTTAGTATGTCAGAAAATTCTTCATAGTGCATCTAGCGTCTGTCCAGAGTTTACTCTAAAGAGATTTCTATGGCCTTAATACCGGGTAAATAAGTTGAAAGGTTAATGTAAATGAACTCTATGAATGATGTACAGATAATGGCTAACGCTTTTACATATAACTTAAAGCAAAAAGGCCACTTGTTATTGTTAGTCTGTACTAACTAAACTGTGTGCAGACATTTTTTTGATAAAGTTTCTTTAGTAATCATTTTTGGACTGAATGGCTTTCGATTAAAGAAAAAGGAATTGAAACAAATTTGTTGAATCTAAAGGAATGCTATGTTGTAAACTAGTTTTGTATGGATGACCTTAACTCTGCAGGATATAATGTTGAACCGATCACATGAAGAAAGGAACATACACGGCACAAAAATAGGTCAAATAACATAGTATTAGGATGAATGGTACTGTTTGATACATTTTAATTAAACTTTCAATATATATTTTTTTAATGTTATAATTTATTAACCTATTCGAATAGTTAGCTGTACTGTCAATCATTTTCACTGACTAGAGAATATAATTGCGCTA